GCTATTCACGCCAGACATCCAAAAACCAAAATAAAAGCAGTTTTGTGAGAACAAATGATACATGTTCCACCTGAAAGTTGTGCACTCACCTATGAGAAATGCTTGTTGAGCAGATATTGCCCAAATGTAGCTGAAAAATCAACGTTTACTTTTCCTCCAGCACTGGGAATATCTTTTTTTATAAGCATAATATGACTTTGTATGCTTGTGACCTAAATATCAATACCTGTATCCTAATCAAATAATGCAGAAAATTGAGTTATTGTATTGTATTTTACAACTTATTTTAGCTTGTTGTTGTCGATGGACTCAATCTCTCTTTATATCCACAGGTGACCACCAAAAGGGCTCAGGCCTGGTGTCAAAGTAAGAACAACATCCCCTACTTTGAGACCAGTGCGAAGGAAGCCATAAATGTAGAACAGGCATTCCAGACAATCGCACGTAATGCACTCAAACAGGTGAGTTACAGGTTAATGGGGTGTGTGTGTGGTGTGCTGGTGGTGGGTTTGAAATGGCTTGTTGCATTGTGTGATTGTTGAATTTTAAAAAATCTTTCGGCTTTACTTAACTTCTTTTTTCTTGATGCCTTGCAGGAGACAGAGGTGGAGTTGTATAATGACTTCCCAGGGCCCATAAAGCTGGGAGGGAATGAAGGACCTAAACCCGCAACAGAAAGCTGCAGCTGCTAAGAGAAAACTTGGACCATCTTCTCTGTTGGCTTTTTGGAAACGCCCTGTCACTGGTTACATCACCTCCACCTCGCTCCCAGGGAAGGGAATTCCCTACTGGTCTTCCTCCTCCATGCCATTGTTCATTCCACCGACACGACCCTTCGCACAATGTGCTGCACATGGATGTGTCCCCCTCACAATTAATACACAAATTAATACACTAGTGTTCTCTTGTAAAATATGTTGACGAGTCCAGCGCCCAAAGATCACACAAGAGAAAAATGACACCCCCCAGCCCCACTCTGACCTCACAGTCCCTGACTTGATCTCCTGTGAGTGATCTCCTGTCCCAGCAACCCATTTGTGCAGATGATGCCCGACATTCACGCTGAGGGGACAAGATGGAGCCATTTTCAGAGTGCAATCGGGAACTCTAGATGTCCTAGCTGATTATCTTTAATGTGAGGCGATGTTGGCTAATGTCAGCATCCCAAGTTTCGCATTCTCTGATTTCTCTTTTGCTTTCTTTTGCCTATCTGTCAATGAATAATCTTGTTGAACTATATATACAGATGTATTAATTGGCTGATGATGTTTTTGAAGCCAATCTGAAACACTTTCTTCTTTCTTTTTGCACTTTGTATGTTTTTTTTGCCTTTAAACATTATACAGGGATGACTGATTTTTGGGCAACGTCTGCTGCCAGATGCCTTTCAAATTAGAATTCCTTACTCTTTCCTTTTTTGATAGGTCCTGAGAATTTGTTGAACACTCTGGTGATTATCTTTGCCTTTGCCCTTCAAGATTGTGCTTAAAGGGTTTATAACTGCCTAAACAGCACAGTAGAAATGTTATTAAGTAGACTCAAAGTAAAAGCTGAGTCTACTTAATAAGTCAGTGTAGAACATGGATTAATTGTCCCTGATATATTAATATTTGCCTTTTGTGTAACATTACTTGTACTGCTACTGTTACTGCTGTATATGTTCTGTCCTTTCATCAGACGTCTTTCATCGCTATAGAATTACAATATGCATCACCAACACAGCTTACACCTGTCTTCTGTCATGTCTTTGTTATTGCTGTTCTATCTATCTGCTTGTAGCTCAGGTTGGCTAAGTACTTAATATTTTTAACGGATTGTGTATTACAGTGTATAGATGGTGAAGGTATAATGGACTCAAATCAAATGGATATTCTATCTTTCCATTTAATGAAAATATCCAGTTATTTGTCCTGGTAGTACTCCTCCTTATAAGAACAAAATTACTGCAATGCAAATAATGTTGTCAAAGAAAATTCGGACATCAAATAATAAAACTCTTGACTATATTAACAGTCTGGCGTTCTGTGTCTCAGTGTATGTATGGTTGATGAAATTCTCAGTTTCCTTTTCCATTCACACACCCCCTCAGGTGTGTAATTGTGTGAAGCCTTAATCACAGATGCAGATAACTTATATACATTTGTTTTGTTTTTTTTACTTTTTCCATCTACTTTGGCCTTCAGTTCACAAAGTTTGAATTCACTGTAAACCAGTTAGTGTTATTGGTATGGTTTGTTTTGTTTTGTTTAAGTAAATGAGAAAAAACTACTTGTATAGGTGTTGAATGCACTGTGCTTCATGTTTTAAGTCATTAACTATTGTTATCAGTTACTTTTTTAGGTACACCTGTTCAACTGCTTGTTAGCTCAAATATCTAATCAGCCAATCACATGGTAGGGCAGGGGTTACTTTGAATGGTACCAAAAGGGCTGATCTAACAATTTTAGAAACTGAACTACTATAACAGACTAGTGTATTTTTTTTTTTCACCAAAAGTGAAGCACCACCATTGGTCAGATTATTCTCTTAAAAGCATCAGCTTGTCCCAAGGTCCAGTTCAGCAGATCAAATTTACAGAGGAAAATTTAGCTGAGCAATCAATTAAAACAGCGCATGACTGTCAAAGCAGCCCGGCCTCTAATTTTATCCATCTGAGTTAGAAAAATCCACCTATTTAGTTGGGCATTGTTTGCCTTACTTTTAGAGGCAGCAAGTAGCCTGTAAGGGCACTACAGCTTCTAATTTTCAGTGGCAATTCCAATTTCCAAGTTGGAACTAACTCACTTCCTTGTTCACCCATTTCAAATTTCCTGAACTCAAAAGTTTCAAACACAGGATGGAACAATGAACTTTAATGAAAACAGGGTAAATCCCCCCCCCCCAAGATAACTGCAAACATGGCAACTCAGGGTTCAACATGCAGACTAGAGAAGCTGGGGATCTAACTACAGACAATCTGATCCGCTGATGACTCCTAAACCACCCCTCAGGAAAAATGATGGAGGACATAAAAAGTTATCTAGGCTTTTTCCTTGCGCAGCAGGGATAAGCTTCTGTCCATAAAAAGCATCGTAAAATGCCCCTTCCTCTTTGTGAAATTTTGCCTGGGGGAATATTGACGTCTTTAAATAGACAGACTATGTTAAATAAGTATGCTAGACATCTTTGTGCTAGCATTGCAGGCAAACATGTCCTGTCACGTTTGTTTTCTGTGTTGAATAGTTTTTCTTTCATTTGTGACTTGCAGGTCACGAAGCTACCCGTGATTGTCTGATAATACAACAACTATTTCTTGTACCACCAAGCTTGAGGACAAAATGAAATCTGTTGCCATACATGCAACAGATTTCATTTTTCAATTCTGTCTGACACTACCATCAACCTTTTTCCAACAGACATTGTGCAGAGTATAAAGACTGAGATATGTTATATGGACAAAATTACTGGTCCTCAGTTTCTTTAGTTTAAACTCCACCACCAACGCTGGAACTCGCTCTATTGTCCCTGCTCAGGCTGACATGGCATGCAAGATGGACCTTCAGCTTAGCATACATTTTAAAACCAAGAGAAGGTTTAACAGAGAAACAATCAAATTGAATCAGAAGATTTGGTCCTCAAATCTTTAAATTCAGGTGTTTTCAGTCCCATTGCCACAGCTCAAGCACTGAGACAGGCAGTCTACCTTTAAAAACATTTGTGAAAGAATGGGTTGTTCTAAAGAGCTCGCTGAATTCGAGTGTTGTAACAGCAATAATTCAGTTTGTGAAATATTTTCCCTCTTAGATATTTCACCATTAACTGCAAAATGTAACACACTGCAAAGTGGGCCACATTAGGCCAGACACAACAGCCTTATAGTTTACTGGTAGAAAAATGCATGCTTGAGCTCTAAAAGGACATTCTGAGTCAGGAATACACCTGTATGCTATGAATCAGCTTTAAGGAAATACTGCTTACTGTCAGAGAGCTGCTGCACTAGTTTTTTCTGTTTTGTCAGTAAAACTGTGATTACCGTTTACTACAGATATGACAAAGGTTTGGGTAAAAGTTAAAGCAGCCTCTTATGAAATCTGTCATGAAATGACTGTGCTGCAGGCAGGATAAGGATCCAGATGCATGACTTGTGAGACAAGAACTCAAAAAAGCTTTAATGCTGGAGTCTTTACATAAAAAAAAAACCACAAAAATAAAACGCAAAACAAAACAGGGCTAGAGCCAGGAATACAAAACTAGGACTCTAGGGGGGAGACACAAGGAACAAGGGAGCACACAGCAGAGAGGGAGGGCACAACAATAAACAGAGAGAGAGTCAGACAATAAATACACACCAGATAATTAGGGAAATGAGAAACACTGGCTGAAACTGCTCAAGGAAAACAAGAAAAAGGAAGCAAAACAAAACACGTGACACAAGAGACTATCAAAATAAAACAGGAAATAACACTGAGACAGAGACTCAAAATTACAAACAATCTAATTTCTCTCTTTGTGTTTTTTTACTTCAAGCTTTGGGCTCTAAAATATATCAGCTGATCACGACACTTAAAGGTAGCAGTACAATATATATTCACTTACTTATATTCACTTACGTGTTCAAAAAAGATTACACAATGGTTAGATCCAGTTGACACACTGGGTGTGGCTGACCCATGGCTTAGATCAGTCATATCCAGTGTGGCAAACAAATTCTTTAATCAATGCATGTTGAACAGAACTCATGTTATGTTTGTGATTGTGGTTGTTTTGCATAATTATACCATACGAAGCTTGACAGTGGATTGAAATCTGTGTGCTGTCAGCTTAGTGACACCGAAATCAGCTGAAACATTTGATGTCACCTGCTTTGAGGAGGAGTTGGATTGATTTGCCAAACAGGTTATAAGGTACATGACTGGAATGAGTGGCATTCATACATGATTGGTGCAGGGCCAGGAAAACTCAACACAGGAAGTCAGGAAAGCATTAGTAACTAAACTCTCTTGCGTTTTGTCTTAATGCAGCTGTGGAAAAATGACATCCAAGAAGAGGGCGCTCCTGAAAGTCGTCATCCTGGGAGATTCATTGTGAGGTTTAGAGGTTAATGTATTTTAAATGTAATTTTAAAGTGTGTTACTTTGTCGTTGGCACGAGTTGTTGTTGTTGTGCAATAAGCTGTCGCCAGTCAGAATATTAACTATGTATCTTGCATCGCAAGACTTAGTTAATCCTATTGTTTTATGCACAATTATACCTTAGTTGCTGAAATACTGTTTAAGGGAATGTTTAAAACTACTTAATAAAGGTGGTTTAAGTGTGCATAACAACACAAAGCTGTTTATCAGATATCCACAACTGAGAGCGAAACAAACATTTTTCTTGATTGTCAGAGTTGCTTCCTCGTACCAATCACTGCTCTCTCACTCACGTGGATTATTACGTATTTGCACCAATTTACTTATTTACTGAATCTATTCTCTTATTATGGATGGATAATATTACACTACTCTTATTTTATTTTCCTTTACCACATGAATACAGACAATATAACCAGCTATACTGCTATACAGACCACATGTTAAAATGGTTGGTGATATGTTTGAAGCAGTCATATTTCAACCTGTCTATACTACATGCTGCTTTTATTTAAACTCAACTTGGAATAGAAATTTAAAAAAGCTTTAACCACATTCACATATCTGTTGTGCTGCTGTTTCTTTTCTCAGTGTTGGGAAGACCTCCTTAATGAACCAGTATGTGAACAAGAAGTTTAGTAACCAGTACAAAACCACAATAGGAGCAGACTTCCTAACGAAGGAGGTGATGGTTGGAGACCAGGTCGTTGTATTGCAGGTGTGGCATAAAAAGTAGATGGACTCTTTGATCATATGAGGACAAATGAAGATTTAATGTTTAAAGCTTCAAGCACAGCTTTATTGAGAAAAGACATTTCCAGGTCCTTAGTAGGACGTTGTTGTTCTGCATTATCTCTAGTCTTGGTGTCCTGGTACTAACTGCGTTTCTCTTTCATTGCCTAGATCTGGGACACAGCTGGCCAGGAGAGGTACCAGTCTTTGAATGCTGCCTTCTATCGTGGAGCAGACTCCTGTGTGCTGGTTTTTGACTTGACAGTGCAAAAAACCTTCAAATCGCTTGACAACTGGAAGGAAGAGTTTCTGTTCCAGGCCAGCCCTCGAAATCCCGAGAACTTCCCATTTGTGGTGCTAGGCAACAAGATTGACTTGGAAAACAGAGAGGTTGGTATGAGATTCCTGAGACAAAAAGGTCTGGGTTCAGTATGTTTGTTAGAAGGCTGTCTCTGCCATAGCATAGATAACTTTACTTCACAGTACTGGTATTGAATTTCCTATCAGAAAGAATGCAGGTGCTTTCCAGCTCATGATGGTAAATGAAGTGCTTGTGTTTTAAAAGATTAGCTGATTGATGTATGTTGACTAAAATGAAGACTGATGGGAATGTTTGTGTTTCTATTAAATTACTGCCTCAAGTGTTATTGACCGACTGTCTAAATCACCCTTGATATTATTTAAAAACACTGATGAATGTACCTGAATGAGCAGACATTAGGGCACAGAAATCAACTGACCAGGTAAAACTGTATAACATAACATTTGCCTGTTTTTATATAAGAAAGCAATTAGGATGATCTTTGAGAAAATACTGCTAAATATTATAGTAAGACGGCTGGAGCAGTAAACTTTCTGTTTTGTTAGTAACAATGTGATGACTGTTTACCTGCCACAGATATGACTAAGGTAAGGGAAAAGATAAAGCAGCCTCTTATGAAATCAAGGTTTATTTTGTCTCTCAAGTCTATTTATAAATGGATAAGATTTAAAGATAAACTTTCAAGACTCTCACATATTTTTTGTGAAAAACACAATTTTCTTCTGATACGTTTCATAAATGAAAGCAGAGTAAAACCTTTTCTAGTGTCTGTCAATCAAAGCTAGGAAAGAAAGTCCAAAGCACTGAGTGTGGTAGGGTTGGAAGAGCCAGATCTTCTGATTCAATTTAATTGTTTCTCTGTTAAACCTTCTCTTAGTTTTGAAATGTATGCTAAGCTGAAGGTCCATCTTGCATGCCATGTCAGCCTGAGCAGGGACAATAGAGCAAGTTCCAGTGTTGGTGGTGGAGTTTAAACTAAAGAAACTGAGGCTGAGACAGATATTAGGTTGCAGCGATTGGAGCTGATAAGCTCTCGTTCTGCTACTGTAGGTGCACAGGTGTCTCCTGTGGAAATATTCCCCCAGTTTGAGTGTTTTCTGAGAACAGAACTCAGACCTTTTTCACCGAATTCAAGTGCATAGAGGTTTCGCTGCACTGGCCTCAGCATGTGTGAGCCATAATGCTGCAGTGTGAATTTACAGATAAGTCCCCGGAAGCTTGTTCTGCCTTTTCTGCTGAGTACAGTCTGGTTTATAAAAAGCTCAGACACCCTCCTTGTGCCTGACGCCTACTGATGGTGTTTTAGAAGTCTCAGATATACATCTGGTCAAAGCTACGGTCATTTTACTAGAGAGAAGAGAAACTTGAAACAGCTGGTGCTCTGCATCTAACGCTACTGACGTGTGATGTTTATTTGGCTGCCACGTTGGATGTGTGACAATAATTGTGACTACATAAGGTCAAAGATCAAGATTTCAACATCCTAGTCACACAGCCCTAAAGACTGGTTAGTGACCCTCTGGCAACTTCTGGTCCTGAGGGCTACATGTACATCCCTCAGGACATGGAGCTACATGTGTATCCTCTGACCAAAAACCTCCTTGAAATTGTTTCGGTTGCTAACAGATTGCGAATACTAGGCAGCTCTCCAAAGTACAACAAAAAACTGGAAATGGGCATGGCAACATGTTGGTTAAACTTTAGTGAATACAAAGGACCTATAGAAATTCTGCATCTTTAAACTAAGATAAAAGCCGAAAGAGAAACAATACAGCTGGTTTGTGGAGATTACTGCACAAAGTTTTTGTGGGATGGGAACCTCCCATCTCATGGTGCCTCTTGCTGTTTGCAGTCTTGCGTCACAAATCCAGTCAGTGGCAGTGACAGCCTGTATATTGGTTTTTCAGCTGCTGGAGAAGAAAAAGCTCCAGCACCCTCTATGGAGAGGAGGGTGTATTTGATCATTTTACATTTCTCATTCTTTTGCATAGTAATCAACTGCTGAGTTTTATTTTGTTTATTTATTTCGTTTTTATTTTGATAGCAGTTTGTCCGCCTTTTAGTTTAATTGATAATTAAAAGAAAACATATTTCTGCTCTTAAAAGAGCCTCCTTCACTATTTTTCTGCCTGAACACTTCTTCTTGCTTTTTCCACGTCCGCTGGACGTCTTAGGGGACATAACAGATGTGTGAGAAAGGAGAAATTACAGGGGAGTAAAGGCTATGGCTATTGGCTGAAGGCTATTGTATGGGATAAAAAAAGATGTTTGTTTCATGCCATTTGTACATAGCTTAATAAACTAGTATTTTAAACATTGCTAATGTCCATAAAGTGTCACAAAGTAATCTCAAAGTTTAGAAATTCTATAGTCTATTAGACAAATTGTCTATAAAGGCAGATAGTTTAGCACTTAGGCTAACTGGCCTAGTTGTGGGCCCACAACTAAAGATAAGAAGATAAGAATAGTGTGTCTATCTGTACTTTTGACTTAAACATTGGATCATACTTTATGATCAGTTAATACAGAAAACTGAGCATTTACAAAGTGTCCACACTGTTCTGACAAGACTGCAGCAACCGTGTGATTGTGTCAAATCAGAATGAGCCAGAATCTCGGAGGAATATTTCCAGCACTTTGTTGTTATAAAGAAATAAGGCAGTTCTGAAAGCAAACAGGGGTCCAGCCTGACACCATCCAGTGAGTATAATTTAGATGATTATTAATGATATTGTATATCCACAGGTGACCACCAAAAGGGCTCAAGCCTGGTGCCAAAGTAAGAACAACATCCCCTACTTTGAGACCAGTGCGAAAGACACCACAAATCTAGAACAGGCATTCCAGACAATTGCAAGTAACACACTCAAACAGGTGAGTTACAGTTTTATGGAATGAGGGGAAAAAATGTTGGTTTTGGAATATATTGTGGCATTGTGTGCCCGCTGACTTTTCAAAACTCTGTTGGCTTTTTTTTTTCAGGCCTCACAGGGGACAGATGTGGAGTTGTATAATGACTTCCCAGAGCCCATAGTATTTGGAGAGAATGATGAATCTAAGTCTTCAGCAAAAAGATGCAGCTGCTAAGGGAAAACTTGAACCATCTTCTCTCTTAAGTTTTTGGAAACACACTGTCACCTTGGTTACATCACCTCCACCTCACTCCCAGAGAATGGAAACAGCCTACTGTTCTCCCTCCTCCATGCCATTGTTTATTCCATCAACACTACCCTTCACACAATGTGCTGCACATGGAAGGGCCCCCTCTATCTTTATAAACAAATGAATACACATTTCTAGCATCTCTCGCAGGAATCTTGGGGTAACCTTTGACTGATTTTCACTTTGAATGCTCAATAAATCTCTAGTTCATCTTTGCTTTTATCACTTTAAATCGATTAAGAAACTGAGTCAAACTCCACTGTGTCATGCTCTGAACTGGACTGAATATTTTTCATGTCTTTACTTCACTGGGTTTAAGTTGCTCATTTGTTGTGATGGTTATTATCTTAACAAGACCTCCTTGGAACTTTGAAGCTTGCACCACTGACAAACTCTTCTAAATACTCACATATCACACTGTTGCTAATTCAGCTGAACTGACTCCCGATGAACTACCATGTACATTTTAAGATTTTTATTTTATTTTATTCGTTTTGATTTATTTTTATAATAGACAAGCATCAGTGTACATCAGTGAACTTTTGCATCCATATATCTCCAGCATGTCCCAGAGGTCATGTGATCAGGACTTGCTGGCTCTGCAGCAAACAAAGATAGAGATAGAGTACAAAAGACAT